ATTAGATGCTTAGGGCGGACGTGTGGAAACGTCTCTTGAGAATGATGAAAAACGTCAGTGTGTGTTGCGTCACATCTCTCTGACTGTATGGTAAACTCCATTGTGAAGAGAATTCATGCACAGCTTCATGTTGGTGATGAAATATGTTTCACAGGGCTTTCAAGGGTTTGGCTTTGGAGATGGGGGTTTCCAGATGTCATTTGGAATCGGTGCCTTTCCATTTGGTATTTTTGCTACAGCTTTTAACATCAACGACGGCAGACCACCTCCAGGTATCTATGTTTTACACACTTCATGATGACCACTCTGAAGTCTTTTATCGACAGCATATCAAATAACTTTCTTTTAAACTAATTCCCAAACAGCGGCCCCTGGGACACCGCAGCACATGGACGAACAGTTTCTGTCTCGACTCTTCCTGTTTGTCGCTCTGGTGATTATGTTTTGGCTGCTGATTGCATAAATACACTAACTCTGGCTTACCTAGAACATTTTAAAAGAGATGCAACATTATGGCACATCATAATGGTTTGCACCAATGTGATTATGCCTTGACATATTTTTCCCTCCTTGACTCAAAGCCATTTTTCTAAATAAAAACAAGTGTTAACCCAAGGCAAACATCTCTTAAGGTGAACCACACAACCTCCGTGGAAACATTTTTTAAATCATCATTCAATTGTTCTCTGTGTTCTCTTTTTTGAGTATTATTTGGTATTACTCCTGAATTCAAATATATTCTCTGCTAATCAAAATAAGACCAGCAGTGCTCTGAGATCATTCACTTTGATCCTCATGCATACATATATTCATATATGATCCCTATGACCCTTTTCAGGTAACTATTATTGTATTAATTTGGCCCTATTCTAATTGACAGCCATTGCAAGAAGAGCACCGATGTTACTAACAATATTAACAATGTCTCTGTTTTTCTCAAGTGTTCAAGAAAACCATGACAGTTTGATCGTTAATATTATTATTTACACCTGTGTTCTTTTACTGTTGCATCTTGTCAAATGTCTTCCATAAAACCCGCTCAACAGGTTTCAAAGAATCCTTCTGAGTTACACACTGAGTACAAGCAGGCGACTGACTCCCTGTTGTCTCTCTTCATCTATATACTTCAAATGCTTTTTGTTTTGATCTAGCTCTACCTGATCTCACAAATAATGCATTTCATCTGCAAATATTGACCAAATCATACACAGTCTGTTGAGTCAAAACAATGTTAGAAATGTTCTCTTTATTTCGGATTGAAAAGAAATATGTTGATGCATGTTAGCAGCTCAAATATTAACTTATGAAACGGTGTTCCTCTCCAAATCGTTTTTTTCCCTCATTTTTCTCTGTCACTGTAATTTAATGTAAAATACTGTAGATTATTACAGAATTATTACTGAAATGAAGATTTGCTGGTTGAACCTGAAACCACCTTTCAAAATGTGAATTCATTCTATTGACAGTAAAGCTATGTAAATAAAAAATTGTTAAATCATAGTTTTTCTTTTGTCATAATTGATGTGTTAATCTGTTAGGGCCTAATTCTCTCATTGACTTTACTGATCTGATCTAAATTAAGACACACCACAGTGGTATTGAAAAACTCAACTTGCTAAATGGCAAGTAAAATTATTCATTGTTAATTCTTTTACATAAAAAAAACCCTAACCACTTGTGATGTAACAAAGAAAGTTAAATATTTTGGGCATTTCGTGGAAGAGATTTTTAGAAAACTATTAGTAGAAAAATAGTCCCTTTGGCTTAGTCCTGCGCTGATGGCTCCGACTGTTTCTCTTGAGGCTGTGCAATGTTAAACTCTGCTTCATACATAATCTGCTGGATCTTTATTTTTGTCTCGCACCTTTTTTGTGGCGCAAGTCGCTTCAGAGCGGGTACAAAGCTCAGAAGAAACAGTTCATCCTCATCCCGTGGCCTGTTGGGAAACACGGTGCCATTGTCTTTGACCAGCCACTTTGTAGAGGACGGAGCAATTGGAGATAGAGACAGTGGAAGTGACTCTTGAATCAGGCGCCGCTTACGTCCAGTTTTGCTGGTGGAGGGGCCGTGTTGGCTCAATGGCATCTTAGCCAGAACAGCCAGCTGGGCCATCTGTGCTTCTTGAGACATCAACGGGAGCTGCGACATAAACGCCACCGGGGGCTTGAGGTCAGGTGTATTCATATTGACCTTCAGGGCAGACTGCAGTGCCTTGATCGCCTCAGACGGTGACGTTTCTCCCTCAACACTGCCAGACTCATCAGCGTTGTCATGGTCATTGTCATTGATGTCTGCCACGCCACTTCTTGATCCAGTAAAAGGTGCAATAAAGTTCATAATCTCTCTGTATTTCCATCTACTGTGCGCAAACTCGCCTTGCTTCTTGCTCTTGATCTCCATTCGGACTTCCTTCAAGTACCGGTCTCTCATGTTCTTCCATTTTCTTTTACAATCCTCAGCTGGAAAGCAACAAAATTGAGTGTTAAGACCAAGACATCCTTTAAAAAAATGCACAGGAAGATAAAAGTAAAGTAACCCAAAAGTTAACAGTTTTTTTTACCATCACAATTCAAATATTTACCCCTAAAAATGTAATTTTCAAACATGTTGTGAAGCTTACATTCTGCTATATAAATGTTAGAAAGGTAAGGTCACCAAAATAGCTTGTGAGAAGTGTGGTCTTCTCCCCTCACCTGACAAATATTTGGAATAAAATATACCTGATTATCATGTTGAAGTGTTTGTAACGGGTAGATGGCCATAGGCAGTAGCAGTGAACTTTAGATTTAGCGTTTGTGTACAAGTAATGCTGGGTTTCTGTTCTATGAGAACAAAACACGTAGGGACTCTGTATGAGATCACCTGACAAATCCCTGCTCAGTGATTGATTAATTAACTGCTGTTAGCATACAGCCTGAATTAGGCTCTTTGTGGCACTGGGTCAGCCATCTCTGGTGCAGAATATCATACAGCAGGATCATGGCAACTCACAGTTACTGTTATTACTGACATCTCAATTATTCTCTTGATCCATTGTGTGGTCTATTATATGTCAGAAAAGTAATTAAAAAAAATACCCAAAACATTCCTTAATTCCAATATGACAGATATAGGTCAGATCAGATGTTGTGGTCCAAATCATTTAATCAACCATGCCACAAGACAGACAGGAGCAATAAATCCTTACAAATGAGAAGTTGTGTGTCAGGAGTTATTAACTGATGATCAAAAATCGCTGGTGTTGATTATACCCTGTGGTATTTTACTGTAGACTAAACAATACAAGTAGTGGCCACTAAAAGCATACAGTTGCATCAACACCATGGGAAGTTTAGAAAACTTAAGTTAATAATCTTCCTGAATGTAATATGTTGTATTGGCTAGATGGAATAGGTGTAGCCTTACTAATAAAGGGCTCATGAAGTGCAGGCCTATAATGAGTTATATTCAAATATAGAAAAAACATAACTTTTTCAAAGTAAACATCGGTGTTGCTGATATGTTTTAGTTGTAAATCGTAATAAAGTGTTGCAAGACAGTGAACAAATAAAAATATGTGTATCTTGATCCATCTTAAAGAGGTCATTGTTAGTTTATCCGTGTTACATGCCGCACCACCTGCTTATATTTCAGGCTGGGGGCCTCTGTCTCCGACATTTAATCCTACATGATGTGGTGCTGACGCCGCTTCCATGACACTTCAACAAGCTATTGTGGAGCCCGTTGTGATAAGGAGTGGATCAGTGACGCCAGTGAGCATGCTTCCTCCCCCGCCTCGCTGTGCTCGACACGCGGTCAGCGGTGCGGAGGAGCCGGATGGAGCCGTTCGGTGCAACGCGGCCTGCGGCGTGCGAGCTGCGGCTGCTACCGCTAGCACGGTGCGCGCCGCTGCAGCTACACCGCCGGGCTATACAACATAAATAAGAGAGCGACACATTGCCTGCTGCGAGATACATATGATATACCTCTATCTCCCAGAAACACCTAATGTGTTCTAATGTCTGTGTGTTAAGTCGCAAACGACAACATCGGCTAAAATAATAACTGGTTAGTAAAGTTCACAAAACATTAAAATACTCACATGGCAGACCCAGTTCCATGCTAATCATTCTCCAAGCATTTGTGCGACTTTCCGTGCAGCGGTAGTTCGGTAAAGTGACATTGAATAGCTCTGGGTGACTAAATACAGCCATTATTAACTTTTCGTCCATTTTGCCCTAGTGTTGTGTCTGTGCGCGGACGCGGAAGCGGCAGTCTTCTCCCGCCTTTTCCGCCCAGCTGCTGCCTCAACGCGAGTTATCGCGAGTGGCTGTCTGCCGCGCTGTGTCGCTCCGCCGCTCAACGGTGGGCGTTGTAGTCTTTTGACACAGGGGGGCGCACCACTCTGAAATGTAAACTTCCTGACATTAAACTACAAACTGTTACCTTTCAGGAGAGAACAGGCTTATGAATGTAGGCTAAAATATTCTTACCACATTTTTATTTTATTTTAGGCTGCACACAAAAAAAGAGTTTTTTATAGAGTTTATCATTGTGACTGATTCATGTTTGTATGACCCCAGGCGGTCACCTCCAAAAGGTGACATTACCCCAGTTCTTGCATGGGATATAGTAACAAAGGGCAGTTATAGAGTGAACATTTTTGTGCACACATGGGCTTTATCCAGCCTTTGCAACTGCTCAAAGCCCTTTATTATGTCCAGCAATTACCAGTTCACACACATTCATATACCTCTACCTTAAAGCAATAACACATAGTTGGCAAGCTTTGTTCTTTAAAATGATGTCGATGTGGGACCAATTTTGTCATTGTATGAGAAGTCAATAGAATATTTAATGTCAAGTAGGAAGAGAACAAACTACAAACAAATATAATAGAACAGCAATGTAGTGTCTACCACTTTATTATTCATTTTGGTCAAATTAACATAATCCTGCATGTTTATGTTTGATTTCTGTCCTTTATTATTCATGTTTCAATTGCAATAATGTATTATATCCTTGTAATATGTTGCAGGAATACTCCCTGAAAAATGCAGCCTCACACCACGGTGAGGCAGAGAATTAATTAGCCTCTACCTGTTGTTTTGTCACTTTATCTGAACTGGTGTTAGAACTGTGTGTTTTCTGGGGAGTAAGGGAATAAAAGTAACGCTCAGTCTTGTCCTTTCATGTCTGTTGTAAGGGGATAGTTGGCCTTTAAAGGCGTATGGGGTAAAACGTTATCACCCGTGTGGTCGATGGTGGCTTTTCTTTACCTGTTGTACCAAATATTGCTCTCACAACAACAAAATTATGGTTTATCATTCTAATCCCCCATAATGAATTTTGAACTGTGTGAACCAATGCGGATGTGGTACAATTCCTTCTATTGAGAACGACAATAACTGCTAGATAGCCATCTCACATGCTCCGCAAACTATACATCAACAATCTGGACACTATTAAACCCAAGTGAAAAGGATGGGATGGTGTTTATTGTTATCTGTTTTCAAAAGCCCTTATAAGAGGAGCTTAAGACAGATTGTGGAAATCCATTAATTCTCTGAAAAAAAAGGTGTATTGCCTTGTATGAAATCAGAGGATTTGTTGAGAGGGGATGAATTTAACCTGTAATAGCTTTACCTCGGCTGTGCACATTGTCAGAGGAGTCAGACTGAAAGACTGCAGCACACAGATAAGGCGCATGATGCATGATTGTGAATACCAACCACATAGAGGGACAGCCTTTCTGAATGTACTCTTCAATTTGTGTTTATCTTTACTGAGAATATACAAATCTATCAGTGTAACAACACATGTCAGTAGCAGGATGAGTCACTCATTCAGCTTCCTTATTACTGTGTAATTAGTATGCATTGTTGTTGTCAGTGCAACACGTATTTATTTACTGATCTATTGATTTACAAAATATCCTTCATTGATATAGAAAAGTGACAGTATGAAACACATTTAAGAGCTAATCCTTAAATTCAGCATGATAAAAGTCTGGCCATACAAAAAAAAAAACGTTCATCTTTAAATCCAGGTTTCTAATACCAAGCAATCCCCTTTTCTCTAAAACCTCAACAATAAGGATCTTAGAAGCTCTCCACTTCTCATTTTATGCAGTGAAATCTGATTTCTTTTGGAGAAAGGAATGAAGCAAGATTAACTGAATCGGCCGTCCTCCCTAACCTCTTCACAAAACTGCCCAGATTAGCTAGGAATTAAGTTTCAACCGTTTCATGTGTCTGGTCCACAGGGGGATTATGGTTTTAGTTTTTTTCTTTTTGCCTCCCAATTTCACTATAAGGGCCTGCACACTGTTGTAGAGAGAGGAGAAGCAGAAGAGCAGCCGAGCCTGAACTGTGGCAGAGTGTGTCAATATCCTGGCATCATTGCTGCTTTTGTTTTATTGTATTTTGTTTGGAGTTGAATGGACTCGTCAGGATGGAGAGACACAAGTTTCCTTTCACTATTGAGAATATATTGAGCAAATATCCAAACAGTAATGGAAC